CCCGGGAACGAGGGAAAGACGATACCGGATATCCGAAAATTAATTTCACAAGCCGTGGACAATTATTAAAGACAGAGGACCGCGATACGCGTCGTCACGAGGAACGCGGAATTGGCAGCGATACCTAGAGTGCATTCTAAAATTTGTGCCTCTCGTGGCGGGCATATTTTTTTCCCCGCACTCCGGTCCGGGACGCTCGCCGGATAATCCCGATTTCACCCGGCCGCTACATCGCCCTAGAGAAATTTCGACAGTCCACAACGATAACAAACGCATCTCTCTCTCCCTTCCCATCTTTCCGTTCTTCCGCCTCTATATCTCACCATTTGCGCGGGGGGGTGAGGACGGGGACGGGGGGCGGGGGGGGGAGAGCGGCCTCTCCCGACCTCGCCCCCTCCCCCGCTCACTCGTATACGCAAAGCGTGTACTCGCGTTCTTTTATTTGGCCCTCCGGGGTGGCAGAGGGTTGAGTGAGCGAGGGGCGGTGGGTGGGCGATGACATCGATTTTTTACCCGTTGCTAATCTCAATGTTACCCCCTTCGCCCGCTCGCGCCCTCCTCGAGCCCTCCAACGGCCGCCACCCCCCCACCCACCCCCCCCCCCACCCCCCGGGCCCCATCCGTTCTGCGGGAAACGTGCATGTGCATTCGAAGAGATAACCATTTTTACCGGCAATACTTCTCCCGCTTGGACGACCTCTCTCTCCCCGTCCTTCTTTTCCACCCTCCGCTCTCTCTCTCTCTCTCCCTCTAGCTCCGGTCGTGGCGCGCGCTCTCACCCCTATCGCTCTCTCGCTCCCTCCCGTTTGCTTTTTTCTTTTTTTTTTTTTTACGCGCAAGGATAACGCTTCGGTCATTGGTCGAGAGGGATTAAAAGGTAGGGGGGGAAGTGGCTCGCGGCCCCCGCACGGTAGCGAGGGACGGAGAGAGAAAGAGAAAAAAATATCGGCAGAGGCAGGGAGCGCGGGCCGAGGGTTGGGCGAGAAGCGTGGCGCTGCCGGTGGGCCATTGCGGGGCTGTTGCGAGTTTTTTAATGTCTTACGCCACTGAGAGACCATTACCTGGCGCGAACCTCATTGTGGAATAGCGGCGCTTTATTGGCGCAATCCCGGCGACGCGCGGCCAATCGGGAGGCGGCCGGGTGACGGCATTACCTTCGCCGTCGGGTACGATTCGGATTCTACGCCCGAGCTAAGCACCGCGGGGCTTTTTACGGGCGGCGCGCCTCTCGCTTCAAAGACCGACCGCGAGCCCGGCTACTCGGGTAGGCTCGGCTACGCTCGGCTCCGCTCGGCTGCGCTCGGGCCCGCTCGGCCCGACCCGGTCCGACTCGACCCAACCCGATTCGACTCGACTCAATGGATCGAGCCCGAGGTAGACGACGCCGTGATTCGCGATTACTCCTCCTGACACGTTGCCTCTAATCCCATACCCTCGGCACTTCGCTCCCCGGGTCTCCTTTTATTTTGCTCATTTCTATTTACAAGAGTGCCGTGGAGGTAGGGGCCGGGCTCTTTATTTTACCCCGGGCTCGTCGCCCTTACATTTCGGCCCCTCTGGCGTACCGCTGCCTTCATTTATAATCCTTACCTCCTACAACGCGGCCCGTGGTCTTGTGGGTTTGATGGGGAACCCAAAATGAGGAAAAAACATCTCGGTGGTAATTAAGGGCGTTCGGGCCTGACCTCTTAAAGTATGAGCTTACCGACTTCGGGGCTTGACGTCGTCTTTTTAACGTGCAAGCGGGGACTGACGCTGCAAGTAGGGTACAGTAATTTAGTGCACTTTGTCGCGGGTCGGTCTCGGCATAAAGGACTCTTTATCGGCTTAGGGTATTATACCCTATCGATCTAAATTTTAGATGTAAAGAACGGCTTTTTTCAACGGCTCTGTTCCCTATCTCGAAGGAACAACCTGGCATTACGCGGGGAAACGTGAAATATGTTTGCGTTAGGGCGAAGACGTACATTTTTATCAAATTATACGATTTCCTCGGTACTCGTGGCCTGGATGCGCCGGTCAATGTTTCTAGCAGGTCTAAGCTAAGTTTGAAAAATCTGCTTAAAATAGAAATGCCGATAAACTCCATTTTATAAGTTATTTCGATGTGCTCCGTTCCTCCCCGGGCATTTATATTGTTTTAAGGCTTTGTTCTTCATTGCGTGATTAACTGTTGTGGTTATTTTCGGTTCTTTCAAACTTCCCTTGCTCGTAAGTGGTCCCGTCTTTGTTGCTGATATCGTTCGCGCACTTAGGGAAAAATGTTATTTCAAAGATATTCATTTTATTTGAGTAAACGCTCGAGTGTCGAATCGCGGCAGAAAGTACTCATCCGACTCCCAAGAGTTGTAAGGGCTTATTCAGGGGCGACAAGCTTCTTCCGCTCAGTCGACCGCGTTATACACAGAGGCTCTCAGTTCCGTACAACTAACTTTTCCCGGAATGATTTGCCGCAAAGTCCCTAAAGAATATTTTTCGGTGAAAAGTAAAACTAACTAATTCCGGTAAGGGGGTCTGTAACTGACTACGCTGAGGACAGAAAAAATAGTTTTCCTTCAATGAAATTATTTCTTAGCATAGAGATAAAAAAAGAACACAAAATAAGAGAAACATAGTCTTCCCTGAAAAATGCCGAATGTTAAACTTTAATGCACTGCATTGATCGAATTCACGTATCGATATCGATGTTGAGTTCATATCTTAAAATAAAAAAGTAAAAAAGAGCATAAAATAAAAGAAATATAGTCTTCGCTGAAAAATGCCGAATGTTTAACTTTGATACATTGCATTGATCGAATACACGTATCGATATCGATGTTGAGTTCATATCTTAAAATAATAAAGTAAAAAAAAGAGCATAAAATAAGAGAAATATAGTCTTCGCTGAAAAATGTCGAATGTTTAACTTTGATGCATTGCAATGATCGTATACACGTATCAATATCGATGTTGAGTTTATATCTTAAAATAATAAAGTAAAAAAAATCGAAACTATGTTTCATTTCTTTAAGGTGTTCTGAAAGGGTCTTCTATATATGTATAAACGTCAAAATATTGATGAAACTTTTGTCCAAACTGGATGCACCGAATCATTTGAAATTTCAGCATCATGATTATGGAACCCATAAGCAAAAACGCGGTGCTCGTGAAATTTCATTTTTCAAACAAAAACTTTGTCGTTCATCCCAGACTGAAACCAAAGACACATCTTTTTTTTTGAAAAATGAAATTTCACGAGCATCGCGTTCTTTCTTAGGGCCTCTATAATCACGTGCTGGAAATTCAACTGATACGATGCGCCGAATTTGGAGAAAGGTTTTATAAATATTTCGACACTTCGATACATATATAGTGACCCTTTCATAATCCTTTAACTCCATTCAATTTCCTTGAAAGAGAACATTTTTCTCTTCGGATATTTTTTTTTTCTTGAGCTCAATAATGTGAAATATCTTTTCATACCTAGGAAACCATTTCGTTCAATAGTTTTAATAAAATATTCCATCGTGTTTGTTGCAATTAAACACGTTACAGTTTTAACGAAATTCTTAGAATATTACCATTCTTGGAATAGGAATAAAATATTTCTTTGGGGCAATTACGCGTTCTTTCCTCCAATCCGTTGTTATTTGATCCAAATGAGCATTGTTCAAAGAAATCATTTTCTCTGAATTAAAGAAACTTTTATCTCAGTATACGTGCCTTGTGAGTTCACCGATGAAATTAGTGTTTCGCAGCTTCAGACGTTGATACGATGAAATGCCTGAACCTTTCAGACGAGCCAATCTGTGTATTAAGCCATTAAGGTTGAAGCATATTAGATCGACCAGGTAACCATTAAGGTTGAAGCATATTAGATCGACCCAGAAAAATGCCGGTCGAATGAATCGGTCCAGATCAGTTCGGACGGAATTGCTGCTTGATTTTGCTTTCAAACTTTTCCGAGCCGACGTAATGAGGTTCAATCTTTTGAATTCGTCATTACTTCTCATATCACTTCAACGAATTAAATGACGTATCAGGTTGCAATACCATTTTGTTCCATGAATGGAAGTAAATAAAATAGTTTTATCAGATTTTATTCAATTGAATGTCATGGTCTCTTTGGATATCCAATCCCATTGGTCGGATATTATTAAGTGATATCGAATATTAACGTATCAAGGTTTCAGAGAATTCCTTTTACTATGTTCCATCGCGTCGTCAACGTGAGCGATCATTGTTGTCCTCAAGGCGTAAGTCCGAGACTTCGCGAATTATAGGTAAATTCGCGAATACGGCGATAACGCGGCGTAATACGCCATTTTAATATTGTACGTTTTAAAACGTGAAAACCTGAGCGAAGCTGTTCTTAAAAGTTGTGCACCTAATAGCTTGTTGAAAGTTGGATCCTAAAGAATGACTCTCCTATCGTGCATTGCCGTCGGGCCGTTTACGTTGTTTACAGAAGGGATAAAAATTTATTTTCTCGCGACACATCGGTATTGGCCCATTTTTTTACCAGTTCTTATTTCATATTTCTCGGTTTTTCTCAAATGTTAATATCGTTAACGGCTGTATTTTCTGTGAAGTGATATCGAATATTAATGTTTCAAGGTTTCAGAGAATTCCTTTTACTATGTTCCATCGCGTCGTCAACGTGAGCGATCATTGTTGTCCTCAGGGCGTAAATCCGAGACTTCGCGAATTGTAGGTAAATTCGCGAATACGGCGATAACGCGGCGTAATACGCCGTTTTAATATTATACGTTTCAAAACGTGAAAACCTGAGCGAAGCTGTTCTTAAAGGTTGTGCACCTAATAGCTTGTTGAAAGTTGCATCGTAAAGAATGACTCTCCTATCGTGCATTGCCGTCGGGCCGTTTACGTTGTTTACAGAAAGGATAAGAATTTATTTTCTCCCGAGCATCGGTATTGGTCCATTTTTTTACCAGTTCTTATTTCATATTTCTCGGTTTTTCTCAAATGTTAATATCGTTAACGGCTGTATTTTCTCGCAGACGGAAATCGCGAAGAGACTGAACGGCATCATCGTCCAGGTGCTTCCCTTTCTGGCACAAGAGGTGAGTCCTTTGTACGCCCACCTGTCTTAGGGTGGCGGATTTATTTCCGTTCATGGAAATAACACAACGCGATAATGATAGCACTTTGGCTTGCAGCATCAGCAGCAAGTGGCTAACGCCGTGGAAAGGGCCAAGCAAGTTACCATGTCGGAGCTGAACGCCATCATTGGGGTAAGCCAACGAGTTCCCAAGTTTCCTCCGCTCGTTCCTTCCTCCGCCCTGAAATTCAACTCGTTAAGAGTTCTAATTAATTGAGTTCATAATCGCCGCTAAGTGTCTTCAATTCTCTTATTTTTACAATTATACCTAATTGAAATTATGCCGGAATTAGGGGGACGAAGTGGCGGGAAAAGGCAGCCTTATATATAGCGGTCGGTTCGATTTAATGATCGTGCTCTATCGATGAGTTACTAAAGAGCGGATCTTTGCAGAGGTCTAAGTTTTTTCCAAGATCTTGAAGTTCCGTCCCAATCGATGGACTTACTTCCTTAAGTTTTCGTAATCATCCAAAAGTAAGACCTTTTCGCTTTTATAATGATCGAGAAATGGTTCCGAACGCGCTTTCGAAACGGCGTTGCTATACATTTTTGCAAAACGTCGGGAATCTGGTTTATAAATTTTAATAAACGTTTTCTAAATAGCGGATTACATTCAATTAAATTATAGGGGGAAAATAAAATCAAATTCTAAGTTAAGTACACCCATATAAATACGAGTTAATAAGTAAAATGTTACTTCGCTTTCCGTTAAGGGGATGTGAAAGTGGCATCCGAAAACTCAATCGTCCATAAAACTTTTCATAGAACTGGGTGTCTCAAATCGTTTCATACTTTAAAACGTGAATACGGTGACCCTAAGTTAGGTCCTGAAACTCGCGAAATTTCGTTTTTTATAAACTATTTTTAAAATACCTATAAACAAATTTCAAAAGAATTTAAATTTCATGAGTCTCAGGACCTTTCTTATATTCTTCCTATTCACGTTTGTATTGTAACGTTTTTGTTTTGTTTCAAATGTTTTGTTTCAATTGTAACGTTTCAAACTATTCGGTAAACCGAGTAGGGAGAAAAGTTTTATAAACAAAGCCTCTTCGACGCCACTTTCACATCACCTTAAGACCGTGCTTTTAATAAAATTATCATTCCATTTCTCGCGGAAACATCGAAAATCCCTCCGACGCGATAAATTGCGACTCGGTAAGGTAAGCGTGCCAGTGGTCGAACAATTAAGGGGATGTGAAACTGTCATCTGAAGAATCAATCGTTCATGAAACTTTTCTCCGAATTAGATGTGCCGAATCGTTTCAAACTTGACAACGTGAACGTGGAGGCTATTAGGAAGGTCCTGACACTCATGAAATTTAATTTCCAATAACAAATTTTTAAAATATCTACGAACAAATTTTTAAAAAATTGAAATTCCACAAGTTTCAGGACCTTCCTTGTATCCTCTATATTTATATTGCAAAGTTTGAATCGACTCTGTACACGTAGTTTGGAGAAAAGTTTCATAAACGAGACCTCTTTGACGCCACCTTCACATCCCCTTAAGACACCGTTCAAATTCAGATCAAGATTAAGCACATAAAGGCCGATACGAGGTACGGATGACTCGAATCAACGTAAAAAACGGAATTTCTAGTTTCCAAACCACATGCTATATATACGTAAATATTGAGTAATTTATTATTTATGCCGCGAAGACGATGGAAAAGTCGAACGTACCAGCGTTCGAACAGCCATTATTCACGGAACGTTTAATGAAAGGAAATATTTAAGGTGGTGTTCGGCAGCCGGTACGCTTACCTTTCCTAAATTCAAATAAACTCGGAATTTTCGCACTCATGGAATCGAAATGCTTTCCGAAGCCCTCCCCTGGTAACGGGGTGGGAGAAGTCTTGGGGGTGTTCTCGACACACATCGGGCAGACTTCGATCGCGAATCTTCCCTCCACCCTTCCCCGTCGCTGTCCAGCCCGCCGGTTTACCGACACGTAACGAGGCTTCGGAAGAGATATATACTCATGGCTCTCTTTTCTCTCGTTTCAGCAACAGCAGCAGCAGGGTCTGCAACAACTGCTGGTGAGTGGTTTTTCCCCGCTAAACTTTCCATCCCTGGGTACACGCATACACCCTGGTACACGGAGTCCCCTGCCCCTTCCCGGTACATCGCGGCTTCCTGCAGGATATCGATATTCCCGGTCTACGTGACTTCGGGAAACTCCCTAACTCGAGGCGGGACTGACAGTTTCGCGCTGCTCGCGGGATAACTCGTGACAAGAGAGCTCGACCTGGTCTAGGTCTCTCCCTCTCCTCGCTCCGGCAGCTTTTTCCATCCGGGCCTTCTCTCTCGCGGGGAGAAACGACACCTAGGAAATCGGACGAGGGATCGAATCCGATTGGCTCGGAGGAATATAGACGAGAATCGATGGGCCACCGGGAAGAGCGCGATGCGCCTTGCAAACGACCCACATCGAGCTCTTCTTTGCGCCCCCTACGTGCCCATACGTATACGTGTACCCGAGCTCGGCACATATTGTAAAATACTATGGAAGAGCCCGGTGACGGCGTTTTCTTCGCCAACTCGGATGGGTTTATATTCATGACGCGTTCGTTTTAAACGGCATGTAGATGCGGACGTACATGCGGTTTCAGCGCGGAATACGTCGGGCGATTGTGCCGCGTGAAACGGTACCTCCGGGGCGGCGTAGTGGAATGTCCCTCCGCTCGAACGGAGTGATGGCTCTCTTTGGCGAAATTCGGAGGAGCATTCGCGACCCTTTGACTTTAAGGTGAAGTGAAACACGTCGAGGAACTTGATCGACGTCGATAGAGATTTTTCTAAATGGCCTACCTGTCCGACGTTCATTTTTATATCGACAGCTGCGTCGAATTATATTGGATATTGTATCAAATGGAATACTCCACCTGTCGTTTTCGTACAATAAATATCAAGAAGTCGAAGTAAAACTTCAGAAATCCTCTGGATTCGTGCTTTCTGGGGCTCTAATTGACTGCAGAGGGACCCCCTGCGCCATCTGTGATTTTCAGGTCAATTAAATTTTCACTCCGAGACCTCGTATTCTCATCGTTTTAGCATAGAAACACATACAACACTTTTTTTACCTTTATCCCGTTCAAATGCGACTTTATCGATTACCAGAGTGTTCTAAATTGTCGTAAAATTGTCCTGACCCTTTCGTTTCTCATTTCAAAGCCTTCGATAATTGTATATTGATCGAAATATGAGAGCTCGACGCCATTTTGGGTCTGGTCTGCGCTAAGTTAAAACATTTTTTCCAAAAATCCAAATTTTGAACGTGTCAGGACAATTCTTAGATGATCAGAAGTGATGTGTCAAAGTTTCGGACAGTTTGGTCTGATACGCTTAAAAAAAAAGTGTTGTATTCGAATCGACTGATTTGAAGGGGGTTTCACTTCACCTTAAATACTATGTAAAGGCAGGAGCCGTTAGCGGGTGAATGCCGTACGCGCGTTTGAAAATTTCACATTGTTCCATGGACGAAATGGCAACGGTAGCCGATCGGAGGGCCGCTGCTTTCTTTGGCAAAGTTAGATGGGGTTACATTCACGACGCGTTGGTTTTTTAAACGGCACGTAGACGCGGACGTGGACGGGTCGAGCGCGGAAAACGTCAGTCACTTGGACCGGGTAAAATAGTGCACGCGGTCGCGCATATTGGAATGTCATTCTCGCTGACCGATATGCCCGCGCTTTCTTTCGTTTCATTCTGAGGAGCATTCGCGGCGCGTTTATCTACCAACGGGGGATGAATGGGAATTTTCGTCGTACGGACGTTAACGATCTTGTCCTTGCATCCTGACATCTAGCGATGCGATGATCGGAAGATCGCTTTCTGGTTACGTCGGAGATGTTAATGTTAACAGATTCGCAGCCGGCATATTTTTTCCGTTTCAAATACTGAGTATCGGCGAAAATAATGAAATTCTGTCATTTCAGTTAAGTAAAAACGAAGAGATCAACGTAAAACTGTCGACATCCCGCGAATTCATTATTCTAACGACTGTTTAGGACCAACGTCGCCATCTGCGACGTTTAACTGCAACTAAATTTTTGCTCCAAGAAAACGTGTTCGCCCCGAGACAAGCCAGCATTCTCTTGCAATCGTTGGTGAAAGTATTATCCATATTTTCCCATCTGACTCCGTAATATTCCATTTCTACGGTATTCTAAACCGTTCTAGCTAGGTCCTGAAACTTTTCATTTTAGATTCTAAGCCTCCAAGAAGCGTGAAACATCGAAAACGTGCCCGGACCACGCCGTGTTGGTAGTCCATGATAAATAAATAAATTTTTCACGAACAATGAAATTTCATGAGTTTCAGGACCTACTTAACCCTTTCGTTAGCTTGGACGAGATATCTCGCGACCCAATACTGGCCGATCAACGCTTTTGACGATAATCTAGCTTTCTAGCACCAATATTTTGACATTCTAGATGAATATATTTTATAACTAATTCTATTCGTATAGCTAAAAGGAAGAAATAAATACAGCTACCACCGGATCGCGAGATATCTCGTCAAAAGCGTTGCTCGGCTACTACCGGGTCGCGAGATATCTCGTCAAAAGCGTTAATCGGCCAGTATTGGGTCGCGAGATATCTCGTCCAAGGTAACGAAAGGGTTAAATCCTCTAGAGTTCGATATTAATGTATAGAAAAATTCTTTCTCGAGCGGAGCAGCGCGATTATGCAGCGCGTCGTGCACCCCAAAACACCGTGCCGTGCACTTTGTTACGGGGATTTTTCTTTCGCTCCTCGAGAAGATCTCGAACTCTAAGAGGCACTTCCTAGGCACCGCTGGGTGATCGAAAACCACTAGAATCCGCGCTCGAGCACGTCGCTCGTTTCTCTTTCCACGTAAATTTGCATTTGCTTGTGTGTGTCTAGGCTACTGGGAAAAATCGCTGACTTTGCTTATGCTTTGCTCTCGGCATGATCATGAAAGATCGATACGAGCAAAGCGTCGAAAGATATCACCTGAAAATGGCTGGAGTGATTCGTTCAATGTGCAGAATGCGTTTACAGAGTCATCTGAAATGCATTTCGCGGTTACTCGAACATATTCTTATCGTTACAAAGAGAAAAAGATCACAGTTAGATGTGATTCGAACATTGTTATTTTTATCGAATGGTTGTCATGATACGTGACGTGACATCATGACGTGATACCGAGCTTGTTTAGACCGCGATAAATCTTAGGAAAAGTTTCTTAGGTAAATTTTTAACGTACGGATTTTTAAGCTCGTTTAATTTCTTACTAATTGCCTGCCGCAGTATAATGGGATTAATTAAAATTTTGCCACGCGCACTTGCGGACTAGGATGACAATTTATTATTTCAAAATATTGTGTTAAAATAATCAACAAAAATTATTACTCGTATTCCTGTGTATTACGAAATAACAAATATTATAACACGTGTACAAGGGTCGGCAAAAAAGTAATATTACATTAAGGATGATCAATTACTGAAATAAACGAGTAATCACGATTCAACATTCCTTTATTACTCAATTAATAAGTAACTAAAATTAGAAGGATTTTCATTACTCGATTAACCGTGATTGGAATTTTTCCGATTATTCAATTGGTCGGTAAGTGGAGTTCAACATTTTGTTATTAATCGCTCAATCGGTAGCCAAAATAAACATTTTTTTAAACACGTAATCAATCCATAATCAGTGTTACAATTCTGGCACCGCACTTAGTACGATGTAGTGACACGTATAAGTAAAGTCAATACGTATAGTAGATGTATATCGTTTATCATCAACATAAAAAAAATTATTTTTGTAAACACGTGGCTCTATTATTCCTTCTTACTACTGATTAATGGAGTATTAAAACAAAAGTCTCCTAAATTTTGATTAATCGAGTAATGAAAAAATTGTTTCATTCTATTATCGATTATTCAATTAACCGTAACCAACTACCGATTACTTGAGTAATCGATAATCAGCAGAAAAATATTACCAAAAATATCGCTAATGTCGACCTCTGCACGTGTAATAGATTTCAATTAGGGAGTAGCAGGCTTTACATTTGTATAAAACAGCAGTAATATGAACCAACAGACTCCCAAATTCCGATACGCAACCAAAAAGCGATGTGTCAATAAACTCGAGGATAAATCGTATTTCGACTTCCTGTTATTAATTACTTATCAATATTATATATTAATTGACCAATTTTAATTACGCATCGAGCCACTGTACGCGATTATAAATGCAATTGCCGTATTTTTTTTTCATCCGGCCCTAGGTTTCGCGGAAAATGTCGAGCTCATCGTAATTCGGTAGAATTGGAAGGAACATCGGATCGCGGTCGTCGTCGCTGCCGATATGTCGTAGTTCCCATCCTCGCCGTAGTGGCGCGCCGATTCGTCTCTAACCTCTCGGTCTCTTCCCCTGAAACGTGACAGTGATAAACACAGCGCGGTAATGCGCCAGGCAACGGACCGTGACGTTCGAAAACTCGATTTACCTTTCTGAAAGTGTACTACGTGCCGTGGTGCAAAAACGATGAGAACCACCACCGACGGAGACGTAACTTCTCTCGCGAGCGGTGGCCCTCCGGCCATTGTTCGACGAATCCGCCGCCGAGTCGTTTAGCGGGGAGGGAGGATCGCCGGCTCTCCCTTATTTTAATCTAATTCAATTTCTTCCCGTTTATTCTATGTAATCCGGCGTTCGGCAAGCTTCGGTATCAATTCGCCCTCGAGCCTTTTCGGGCGAGGACCCTGTTGCGTTTCTTTCCTACCTAAACATTTGAGATAAGTAAATACAGGTAACTCTCCCATAACACGGTAGATAGGTTCCTAAAAAACGCCGTGTTGGGTGAAACCGTGTCATATGAGACTCGGAGCCAAGACAAAAAGGGGGGATTACGTTCCGAAAACCTATTAAAAGGAAACTTTTTTTTTTAACCCTTTGCACAACGCACGATTCTGGACGTTGGCTATCAGCTACTCAACGCCACTTTACGGCAGAATCGAACATTTACGGACCCTCGTATTATTTATTATAATTTTGGAACTAAGTAACATATTATAATGATATTGGACTTATATGAATTGGTTGCAATCGAGGAATTTTTTTTTTTTAACCCTTTGCACTCCGAACGATTCTGGACGTTGGCTATCAGCTACTCAGCGCCACTTTACGGCAGAAACGAACATTTACAGACCCTCGTATTATTTATTATAATTTTGGAACTAAGTAACGTATTATAATGATATTGGGCTTATATGAATTGGTTGAAATCGGGGAATTTTTTTTTTTTTTTAAACTCTTTGCACTCCGAACGATTCTGGACGTTGGCTATCAGCTACTCAACNAGATGTTTGATTAAACTCTTTGCACTCCGAACGATTCTGGACGTTGGCTATCAGCTACTCAACGTCACTTTACGGCAGAGCAAACATTTACAGACCCTCGTATTATTTATTATAATTTTGGAACTAAATAACGTATTGTAATGATATTGAACTTATATGAATTGGTTGAAATCGAGGAAAGTCTATTTGCAAAAAAATCAATATTTTATTCATTATAATTTTGTACAGTATGATAAATTTTGAAACACTCCCCAATATGCATTGCAGGCTGATAGTGCATGTTTGACGCCTGCCACCAGGTGTTTTCCTGTTAGAACACACAATGCAGTCCCGTTTTCTTTGTCCCACATCGGGAATATGTAGTTTATTGTCTTATCTATTGTCCGCAGAAGATGTGGATGCCTCTCACGTTCTCGTCTAACACAAAACCCGCTGACATTTCTTGTATATATATCTTAGTAATTTTACGATATTTTTATTTGATTTCTCGTGCCATTTCAAGAGAAAACTTCAGGGAAACATGCATGTCTCAAAAAGTTGCGCTGAAATAACTCAATTCCCCCTAATCACTAATAAACTTGAATGTCCCCTGAGAGGGGACAGCGGAGTGCAAAGGGTTAAATTCCATATAAGCAACTTAATTTTTATTAAAGATATAAATGTATGTATAACACGAAGCGAAAAAGAAAAACAAGAAATATTATTTTCATGTAAGGGCACTATAGTTTATTATTCCTTTCCGCCATTATTTTAAGGTAATTTAGTTTTTAAATATGTTAAACAAAAATCATGTTATCCAGTGTTGTAGGAGTACAGTGTCGTACAAAGGTTTTCGCTATTTTCTTTTCGTGTTAGAGCGAAACAGTGTTAGAGGGTGCAGTGCTATACGAGGGTTCCCGCAATTTATCCTAACGTGTTAGAGCGAAACCGTGTTATGGGATGCCGTGTTGTAGGAGGGCTACCTGTATTAGAATAATCAACGTAAATGTTGGAATATATGTGAAATTGGTTATTCAGTAGAGTCGAGTAGATTGTGTTTACAACAGAAAGTCCTGCCTCGTGGTTTATAAATTGGTCCTCCCTTTTTGTCGTTTCTGTTAGCTATTTCCATACGTTCTCATTGTGCTTTTTGTTATACACTTTTCTAATGCCTCCCTTTCGTACATTCCTCGAATCTTATTAATAGATCTTTCGTATTTTCTTCCTCTGCCTCGCATAGGTGACATTTTCTTCCGCCTTCTGGTTTCCAATGTCTGCTTTTTCATTGCCACGGTATAATGTCAAACAAGGTATTCCTGTCTCCCTTTCCTGTCCTCTTCTTCTAAGTTATTGGATAGCCCGTCCGCTCTTTTACCTTTTCCTGCCTATTGCAATATTTCGAGTTGCATTTCCCCTTTTGTTGCCAGTGTATAATTTGTACGAGATGACAGCTGAGGTGCTGAGAATGATCGACCAAATGTTATTAACCAAAGAATTGAGTCGTGTCAATAAAATATTCGGTTGTCCATATAATGACCAGATGCTATGGTTGAACCATTCAAATATTTTCATCCATAATATACATTCTTGTCGATCACTTTTGTCTGCTCGGATCTGTCGAAAAAATTTTCCTCATACAGTATGCATTCTAAACACGATAATTGTCGTTAACCTATTAAATCGTTCCAAAAGTTCTATCGTTCTTATAGACGAACTTTGAAGTAACATGACAAACAGAACACCGAAAGTTAATAATATAATATTAGTCGATGCTTGGTCAGTCATGTAAGTAAAGTTCATACAGTGGCAATACGGTTGCCAGAAAACGGCAGAAATTTTGAAATGTGTAATATTTAACAAAACGTATCGATGGAGTTTGTCGCCTTTCACCATAGAAAAGGATACGGACGATATGCGACATTGCACAGTAGTCCAAAATCCTAAAAAGCTGTTCGAAACCACAGAAATTAAATTTGTATTTCGGAATTTCCATTAGGTTGCGCAGAATGCATTTATGTTTCTGTTGGCGATTGCGTTTATGTTCGTGTTCACATTTGTTTACGTTCGTACATAAGGGAATACTTTTTATTTTATTGGTCTACAAAATAAAAATTTGATGGTTGTTATAAATGACATGAATGAATTATGAAATAAATGAGAGATACCCTTGGATACAAAAAATGCAAATCGGATAAATTAATAGGCCCCTCAAATTTAATCGACCGTTCGTTGCTAATGCTGAATCGTAATTAGCAACCCCATAAACCCTTGTACGCTAACATTTGTGTAAATCAGAAGCACTTTTGATGTTTTAATCGATTTTTTAGGCGCGTCAAGCTAGCACGGCAACATCCCAATTCACGATTTCTGAATACAGAGGGAATTATGTGCTAATTATTGTGCTAATTTTGGGCTGAATTAATTAATTTTGCACCCCCACCATTTTTCCGAAATTTGAAATTTCAGTGTGGCCGTGCTACCTCAACGCCGAGCCATCATGCTCGGAACAATAATCGAGTTTTTGGAAAAAATGGTCGGTGTAAAGAAAAAACTATTACAACACAAAATTGGCACATAATTTCCCCTTCAATTTGGTGTATTTGTTTTTAACTTTCTGTCTTGTTTGAGAAGGGAAACGTGCAGGCCTGACGCCGGGCCAGCACGCTCTCAACGAAAATCGAGTTTTTGGAAAAAATGGTGGAGGTAAAGAAAAAAAACGATTACAGCACAAAATTAGCACATAATTTGCCCTTGAATTTGGTGTACTTGTTTTTAACTTTCTGTCTTGTTTGAGATGGAAACGTGCTGGCTTGACGCCGAGCTAGCACGCTCGGAACGAAAATCGAGTTTTTGGATAAAATGGTCGGTGTAAAGAAAAAACGATTACAGCACAAAATTAGCACATAATTTGTCCTTGAATTTGTTGTACTTGTTTTTAACTTTCTGTCTTGTTTGAGATGGGAACGTACTGGCTTGACGCCGAGCTAGCACAGCCACATTGAAATTTCAAATTTCGGAAAAATGGTGGAGGTACAAAATTAATTAATTCAGCACAAAATTAGCACATAATTCCTCTGTATTCAGAAATGGTGAATTGGGATGTTGCCGTGCTAGCTTGACGCACCTCAAAATATGCACACATTTTTCGCCCGTTGCTAAACACCGCCCATTGTGCGTCGCGTCTCCCTCATCCGAGCGAGAAACTATAGGTTTGTTCGCGTTGACTGCACTTTCTACCCTCGAGGGTAACGAGGGTGCTACACTTTTCTTGAAAAGTGCAGAAGGGTAGATACACTTTCGTCGACGTCCCGAACGCCAGCAACCTCACGAAAGTCCAAGATGACCGACTTAGTAGAGCAGTACACGATTTTGAGGTTATCCATATCGGACGATGATGAATACAAAAATGTAATGCTTCCTCCAGCCTTCCTTCCTGAGCTGTCTTCGTTTTCTTCAAATCCTACTATTCGTTCTATTACCTTGTAATTGTAGAAAATGAAAATTCCTTTCACGAATTTCAGGTATTGAGGATCAATAAGGGTCAGAAGGTTATTGCAGTGGAATGAAAAACAATTTAACTACAACAGGGAAAAATTATAGTTTAGTTCATTCCAACCGCGGTTAGGTAGTAATACATAATTATTGTAAATTGTTTCAAACGTTAAGTACAAAACTAAAACGCTAAATCTTTCTATACGTGAAGAAGATGCATTAATAATTACTTCTGTTTATATTACGTTGAGACGTTAGCATAAATTTTGTATTTTCCTGTTTGTTGGTCTTTTCAATTTTGAAATTTGCCGCCAAATTCGCGGGCTACCCTTCTTGCCCTCGCTCGGGAGCGAGGGTAGAAAGTGTAGATAAAGTGTACACTCGGGGATGCCCTCGCAGAACGAATTCTGCGTCACTTCCGTCAAAACGAACGCCAGAGTGTACACTTCTCGTAAAAGTGTAGAATGTGTAGGCAAAACGAACAAACCTCATGTTATGGTTACCTCCCACCGAATTCGATGCTAATGCCATCTAGCGGTGGAAGTCATCGTCCCCACTTCAGTGGAGAACACCGTTAACACTAGGTTTACGGGCGTTTTATATATACCTGTTTCTACGAGCATCCTTCAAATTGACGGGTAAACGCAAACACGCATTTTCTTTAAAAAATCGATTTATTCAAATTAAGTCTGAATTAAACAACACTAGGCTTTACGTTTAAATGAATTATTAATAAGTAAAAAGTCCTTTTTAAAAAATTATCACGGAAATGATTAGAATGCTCGTCCTCTCATCCTCGGAGTCAGAACTAGAAAGAATGCGCATCCTTTTCTTGCTACGACACCCTTTCGAGAAGTTTTCGTCTTCACTATCCGAAGATCCTCCTATCTAATCCACTTTCAATGCAAACTTTCACTCTCATCGTCGCCTTACACTCTCTGCAACGAAGCAAATATATATGGATTGTTTATGAAATTAGCTAGTCCGTCAATTTGACGGGTTTCGTAGAGATAGGTATACTACATACAGATTTTAATAATTAGAAGGCTTAGGAAAAAATAATTGCGCGTACAAATTCTTTGAATGAAACGATTAATTTACGATACAAAAATGGTTAAAATAAATGCTATGGTTCTTTCGGTATTTCTTTTCGAAGTTTGAATTCCGTGAAATTGACGGGTCCCGTAAACCTAGTGTTAAGAGCCAACTCGAATTTGCAGCAACAGATCCAGGCGCAGCAGCTACCCCATGGCACCGTGGTCGGCGGAATGCCCCCGGCGGGCCTGCTCGGGTTCGCGGGGGCGGCGGTGGCGGCGGCGGCGGCCGCGGGGGTGCCCCCGCACCTCGCGCCCCCGCCCCACCCGGCCGCAGTGGCCGCCCAGGCTCAGGCCCAGGCCCTCCTTAAGTCGACGGACCTGCAGCACAGAGCAGCCGCCGAGACGCCCGACGACCGGAAGCCGATCGCCCTGACGGACGAGCGGCTCAGGAGGTCCGTCTCGCCGCCCGAGAAGTTCCGGCCCAGGACCCCCGAGCTCGAGAGCGACCCCAAGAGGCGGAAAGAGGACAAGCTGGGACACGTGAGTCGACCTCGCTTTTTCGTTTCTACTGAATTTCTTTTCAATCCACTCGTGACTTGGACTTTTCTCCCAGGGTCTTAAGGTGATGTGAAAGTGACGTCGAAGAGGTTTTGTTTATAAAACTTTCCTCCCAACTCGGTTTTCCAAATAGTTTGAAATTTTACAACGTGAATAGGGAGACCATAAGGAAGGTCCTGTAACTCATGAAATTTCAATTCTTTGCAAATTTGTTTATAGATATTTTAAAGATAATTTATAAAAAACGAAGTTTTGCGAGTTTCAGGACCTACCTTAGGGTCTCCATATTCACGCTTTAAAGTATGAAATGATTTGAGACACCCAGTTCGTAGAAAAGTTTTTTGAACGATTGAGCTTTCGGATGCCACTTCCACATCCCCTTAAGGTGAACATTTGTGGGTAGGTATCGCTATGTTTAGTGATAACGTTTACGGATAGGTACAGGGAGAAGAGTGGGCAAATGTAATTGCATTTCTTATCGCAAATCAAAGAACCCGATATCAAAGTTAGTACTCTACTTGTAGAGTGTCTTTAGAGATGCATCACTTATAGTTTTATCGATCATTTTTCGTATTCGATAACTAGGCAATCAATTAGAATTAGAAATCATTAAAATCCTTTATCTTTGAGAGTAAATGTTATGGACAATGTGACCAATCGGGCAATGTTCGCAGTGCCTTAATGTATCACATTCCTTATAACATTTACCACATATACATTCTTGACTCTAAATATACGCAAAAAGTAGTCGGGGAGTAATGGCAACTTATTATGATTTAAGTAGCTTACTTCGGGCAATCAATTACTATAATTGAAATAAAACCAAATGAAAAAAAAATATATATTGCCCGAAGACTGCCACTCTAATAAGGTACTCGTTATAAATTTTGCTATCGCTTTTTGTACGGCTAATATATATTTTGCATAATTGAACTTGCAAAAGAAATGTAGAAAAATCCAATTCTTCCAGTAATCTTTTTTTGCGCTCTATCCATGATAGACTCGCGCCAAGTTTGGTAGTTTGCATTTGGTCGGAAAATCAAAAGGAAACTTTAGTACTCCCTTTAACATCGTCATGAGGTTATCAGTCCGAAGATTTATTGAACACGCGCATACATCTTTTCCTATCCTAGCCGGCCGATGCATTTGTTTTTAAATCCTGTATTCTACATCTTCGATTACCCAGACAACACAAATACATAACACAGAGGTTCATAGAATATTCTTTGAAAATATTTCAATATCAATAGGATATGGATTTATGTGCTATGTACATTTTTTGAACATAATATGAATGTAGTTTTGCTCAGTTTTTTATATTTAACGAAATATTGTATTAACATGGAATTGATACTTCTTACACATAAGAAGTAGCATGTCATATACATATCTGAATGATATTTTTTGCCACGCAAATAAAAATACAAAAGGTTCATGTTTCGGTATTCTATTTTTCAGCTTGGAAGAAGTTTCACCGATTACAGGTTCTCCCTGTCTTCGGAAAATCGATCTCTTCTGGGTTTCGGTGCTTTGAGCAAAGTAGAGTAGAGGAAATCGCGTGTTGTGAATATAGGAGTCACGTTCGATTTAAAAAAAAAAAAAATCGGGCCTTTATGAGGAAGCCCGCGGAATCTGCGATCCAGCCTAGAGCAATGAACAGCTAATGCCTAATATTCGGTTAATTAATTTTTATGGACCCTGGAACACGGTTTCAATTCGAGAGCTTTAATTAAAAGCGAACAAAGAAAATATCCAGCGCTTCGAGGAGAGATCGTGTGGTTTCGCCGAGCTTTTTTCCCCGCCTATCGTAGATTCTACCAAGGTGACATATACTTGTAGAAATCATTTCTCTGAAAATAAAACTGACAGTAATGAAATTACGATAATTTAATCGCGTAAGTAATTGTATCTACCGACACAAAACCGATTAAGAAATTTTCTCGGTTCCAGCGAAAAGCAACTAAAATTATATCGAACGCTCCTTGAAAGGACATATTGCGGTATCAACGCGTTTTATCCGAGGTAGTTATCCATCGGATTGAGCAGATGGTGCCGATATCGGCACCATCGATCAAACGACACCTCGCACATATTTACCGAAGCTGCTTCTTTGTCGATAAAACTGAAGTACACAACTTACGGTGCCAAATGTACAACGCGAACAACCGAATTAATGAATGCCTTCACCCCCACCGAAACGTGATTTCATTAAAAGTTAGGCTGTCAACGAAAAGGTCCGAGGGAGAAGGATAAACTTCTCTCCATTCCAAAAGCTTTACCTAAAATTAAGCAACGTATCGACAGAGGGCGTTGCAAGAAGATGGCTCCGATTCTGCTTGGGACGTTTCTAAATCGGATCCACCTTCCTGCAACGCGATACATGCACCCCAGAATTAGCTACATCCGTCTTCGATGAGCCCTGCCGGTGTCTTCTACATCCTGCGATAATTTCTGGAAAGTATAGAAACTCCTCTATCGATAAAACCAGTTGACTCGCGTCGGTGGACGCGCGACAGCGTCGAGCGACGCGTTCCTAATCCGCCCTTAAATTAATGAATTTCCTCGCAGACCGGAACACGGATCCGGTCGGAAAGTTAGGCGGCCGGCGAAGGGGATCCGGGGTTGAAAATTCCCTCGATTTCGGGAGGTTTAATTAAAAGCGAGCAAAGAAAGTATCGAGCGGCCCGCGGAGAGGTCGCTCTATCGGGCGCAGTTGCCAATCGGATCCGGTAGGAGGCGCCGGCGTCGGCGAGCGCGACTTTACGAGGGGGCGGCGTGCGCGCGGCCACCCTGGAAACACACGGCCCGGCAAGGAGAAATATCTGGTAAAGGTCCTTTGTCACCGCCGACAAAGTGTGCGTGCGCTCCCGCGAGCACACCGGGGCAAGACCCGCGGAAAGAGAGAGAGAGAGGGAAGGAGAGCGCGCGAGCGCCGGGAAAAGAGAGCGCGAGCAAACGAGAGAGAAAGAGGGAAAGAGAGACGGCGAGAGACCGCGTCGTACCGAGTGTATAATTAAAACCGTGAAAAACACAGCAGGCGCTCGCACGGACGTCGCATTAAATTGGATTATTTTTCTCGGCCTTTTTCTCCGGCGCCATTTTATCCGGGGCGCGCGCGCGCACGCGAGTCGACGTCGCCGACACTTGCCACCGCGAGGCGCGAAGCGGGCCGCGACGCGTTCTCGACATTTTTTACGGTCCCGACCGCTTGTAAAGAGGCTTCGAACGCCATTGTGCTCCCCGGACTCTCTCGCTTGCGGTCCGGCGAACCGTTTCGGGCGCGAGGCGCGAATCGCGCCGGCCACGGGACGCGTTGGTGGGCGAGAAAATGGCTTGGAACGGTGGGCGTTAAAGGTTGTGGGAAAATATCTTCGATATCGGGAATTAATGATGGGGAAAAAATGGTTTGCTCTATTACGAGTTAGAGCTTTAAGGAGAATTAATACGATATGCTTAAGGTCGAGCCGACCGCGGGACGTGCTGGTGGTCGGGAAAATGGTTCGGATCGGCGAGCGTTAAAAAGGCTGCAGGAAAATATCGTCGATATCGGGAATTAATAATTGACGAAAATTGTTTGCTATATTACGAGTTAGAGCTTTAAGGAAAATTAATACGATATGCTTAAGGTCGAGCCGACCGCGGGACGTGCTGGTGGTCGGGAAAATGGCTTGGATCGGCGAGCGTTAAAGGCTGCGGGAAAATATCTTCGATATCGGGAATTAATAATTGACGAAAATTGTTTGCTATATTACGAGTTAGAGCTTTAAGGAGAATTAATACGATATGCTTAATATCGGGCCGACCGCGGGGTTCGTTGGTGGTCGGAAAAACGGCTTGGAATGATGGGCGTTAAAGGTTGTGGGAAAATATCTTCGATATCGAGAATTAATAATGGGCGAAAATTGTTTGCGATATTACGAGTTAGAGCTCTAAGGAGAATTAATACAATATGCTTAAGATCGGGCCGACCACCGGGTTCGTTGATGGTCGGAAAAACGGCTTGGAATGATGGGCGTTAAAGGTTATGGGAAAATATCTTCGATATCGGGAATTAATAATGAGCGAAAATTGTTTGCGATATTACGAGTTAGAGCTCTAAGGAGAATTAATACAATATGCTTAAGATCGGGCCGACCACGGGGTTCGTTGATGGTCGGAAAAACGGCTTGGAATGATGGGCGTTAAAGGTTGCGGGAAAATATCTTCGATATTGAGAATTAATGATGGGCGAAAATTCTTTGCAATATTACGACTTAGAACTCTAAGGAAAATTAATACAATATGCTTAACATCGGGCCAACCGTGGGGTTCGTTGGTGGTCGGGAAAATGGTTTGGAATGATGGGCGTTAACGGCTGCGGGAAAATATCTTCGATATCGGGAATTAAAGATGGGCGAAAATTGTTTGCGATATTACGACTTAGAGCTGTAAGGAGAATTAATACGATATGCTTAAGATCGGGCCGACCGCGGGGCGCGTTGGTGGTTGGGGAAATGGTTTAAAACTGCGAACGTTAAAGGTTGTGGGAAAATATCTTCGATATCGAGGATTAGTGATGGGGAAAAAATTGTTTGCTATATTACGAGTTGGAGCTTTAAGAAGAATTAATACGATATGCTTAAGATCGGGCCGACCGCGGGGCGCGTTGGTGGTCCTGGAAATGGCTTGGAACGGCGGCCGTTAATGGTTGTGGGAAAATATCTTCGATATTGCGAATTAATGATGAGCGAAAATTGTTTGCGATATAACGAGTTAGAGCTCTAAGGAGATTTAATACGATATGCTTAAGATGGGGATGTTAGGTTAGAATAAGCATGCTTAGAATTCCTAAATGGAATCGTGCCTTGAGCGACGCGCAAAATCTCGATCATACCGAATTTATAAATCTTTGAAAAGCATCTGAATTGTTGTCGGTTTAATTTCATGAAAGATCGGTATTGCCTAGGACATTTTCGGCGAATCAGTTTGGGACCGCTGACGATTAAGTTTCGAGTTGCATTGCGTTTTTAGAGATCACCTGGCGTTTCTTTACTCTCTTTGTTCCTTATTTTTTATTGATTTTCTGTAATGTTCCTCTGTCCCATTCCTTTATATCTTTTACGCAACGGTATGCGACGGAAAGGTACGTTGGCCACATTAAAATATCTTTTTTCTACGGCCAAAGGCCGTCCCGCGGCCAGTTCGTTTGTCTAAAAAAAATCGTTTCCAAGCGCGAATCCGACGGCGAAATCCATTTTTGCAGGGTAAATGAAATCTTTTTTTTTTTTACGAAATAGCCCTTTCCCTCTTTCGCTGCAAAGCGCTGGACGTGTCGTAGTTTCTACGTAGCCAAAAAACGCAGCACGCAGGAATGCTAAAACGGACCGAATAAATTGCAAATAACAGTTACTAAATAATTCAGCGAGGGGGTGAATTCGGAGGGTCGAAAAGCGCTCTTGATACCTAGAGACCGCCCTTGCGGCATCGAAGGGGTCTTTTAAACTCCGAATCTCTTAATTACGTGATTACATAATTTAATCGTTCCACTGACAAAGGTCCGCCGCCCTGAAGGTGATAAAAGTGGCGTTTGAGAGGTCTCGTTTATGAAATTTTATTCCGAACGGACCGTACCGAATCATTTGAAATTTTCCCACGTGAATAGGGACACTCTAAGGAAGGTTCTGACACCTATGAAATTTCACTTCTTTTTCTTTTTTTTCAATTTATTTTCAAATATCTTTTTAATTTTTGATCGGAAATTAAACGTTATGTGGATCACGATCTTCGTTAGGGCCTCGGTATTTCCTTGGTCATGTTACAAACAATTCCGCACACCCAGTTCGGATAAAGTTCCACGGACGATTGACCCCTTGGATGTCGCTTTCGTATCACCCTGAGGGGATACAAAATCGTCCGACTTAATCCGACCCGCGATAGAGAAAATCGGGGTCGATTAAACGCGGAGGGACCCGCGGGCTCGAAAGCCCGTTAACCTCTTAAGGTGAAGTGAAACACGTCGAGGAACTTGATCGACGTCGATAAAAAAGATTTTTCTAAATGCCTACGTTGCCGACGTTAGTTTTTATATTGACTGCTGTGTCGAATTATATTGAACATTGTACCAGATGGCATATTCCACCTGTCGTTTTCGTACAATAAATATCAAGAAATCGAAGTAAAACTCCAGAAATCCTCCGGATTCGTGCTTTCTGGGGCCCTAATTGACTGCAGAGGGATCCCCTGCGATTCCAGGTCAATTAAATTTTCACTCCGAGACCTCGTATTCTCATCGTTTTGGCATAGATTCGGCATAGATAGCATCGATTTGGCATAGATAGCATTCAACACTTTTTTTGCCTTTATCCCGTTCAAATGCGAGTTTATCGATTACCAGAGTGTTCTAAATTGTCGTAAAATTGTCCTAACCCTTTCGTTTCTCATATCGGAGCCTTCAATAATTGTATATTGATCGAAATATGAAAGCTCGACGCCATTTTGGTTCTGGCCTGGCTGAGTTAACAAATGTTTTTAAAAAATCCAAATTTTGAACGTGTCAGGACAATTCTTAG